AGTTTTCATAACTGAGTTCCTAATAAAAAGATATTCCTTGTATGTGTATAGGTTTCGCAAGTTTCTTATATATTTTATAATGTATCTTTCTTATCATGTGTTCCTGATAAAAAGATATCCCTTATATGTATATAGTTTTTTCAAGATTCCTATATATATATATATATATATATATATATATATATATATATATATATATATATATATATATATATATATATTCACTGTGAGGTCTTATAACCGAGTTATTTCAGACTAATATGCCTCTCTCGACGCTTCATCTGGGCGTTAAAATGATAAAAGACATTTATCACCCGGTGTGACTCGACCGTCAAGGTTATAGCTAGCAACCACATGTGGGGGTGTCAACCCATATAAATCTATATATAATTCTCCCGCTCCTTATGAATTAACAGTTATAAGCCATATGTCTTTCTAAATATTGTGATACTTAGTTTGATGGATAAAAGAATCACATGAACTTGAAACATATTAATAACCCTAATGTTTGTAACAAGTTTTTGGTTATTATTCCCGCAATGATACACAATACTGCAATCATTCCTTAATCTGAGGTTCCACATGATTGCTACTGAATTTGGTATTGAGATAGAGTTTCGACGGTATAATCCTACTGTATTAATTTATTGATATTAAATCAATTTGAAGGCCCTAACTTTATATTATAAGTTTCCGGGAAAAATATCTACAGTACTATACATTATTGTAATCATTCCATAATAGAAATAATACAGTTTTTTGCATTGTATTCCCCCGAAAACGATAAAAGGTTTAAAATGGGGCCGTGAAACTCACTTGGTTGAAGCGTATGCGAAAAACCGGAGATATTAAGAATTTCCGAAAAATAGCAGTTTCAAAGTCCGGTAAATAGTGTCATATGAATAGTGTTTCGCCGGAAAAACTTGAAAGAGCTTCGCTAGAAAATTGGTTGGAAAGTTCACCAGAAAAGTCGCTGATGAATAGTGTTTTGCCGGAAAAATTGCCAGTGGCAGCGTATGACGTCGATCGGCGGGGGAGGCTAGTCGGAGCTTCACCGGTGCTTGGTCGGAAGAAAAGGGTGGCAGACTGTAGGGTAGTAGATCGGATGCAAACAAGTTATAATTAAGAACAAAATATTATCACAAAGATGATTTTTCACTAAGAAAAGTTCTCACAAAGAAAACGGATGCACAAAGTAGGTCACAAAGACGATCGCACAAAGCGGTGCACAAATCATCAACTCCCAACTAAAGAAAGAGGCTAGTAGAAATACTTGTCTAAACCTAGGAGATAGAAATTTCTACAGATGCACCAAATCTTCTAATTAAATCAAATTCCTAATTTGATAGGATTGATTCTTCAATGATAAATGCAAATCCGGTATTTAAGGAATGGATCAGAGTAGATATTCAGAATGTTTTTTCACCAAATAATTCTGGTATGCTCGAGATTCGAGCATCAGCAGTTCAGCACCAACACATCATACACTGATCAGAGCATCAGCGTCAGCGTCAGCGTCAGGGAGTCATCCACTGATCAACTTCAGCTTCAGCTCATGTAACTTCATCTTCAACAGATGGTGTATGACCATCATTGTACATCAATCTTTAGTGTATCAGTGTATCATATGATTAGTGTGTCATCAGTGTAAGTACTTCAGCGTATGGACACACTGATCAATCTCCAGTAAATGGTCTTCATGCTGATAACACTTGCCTTTGGTGCTGATAGTGTCTTCAGGGTCTTTGCTCATCAGGGGATGATCTTCAGTAGCTTCAGATTTCATCAGCATATCTTCAGATTAACTAAATAAACAAACTCTGATAGATCAACTTGTATAAGTGTATTATTTACACATGCTTAGACAAGACTGATTATTTATAATGAGTAGTAATACTATAACTATAATGCATATATTTTGCATCATCAAATCTATACAAATATGTATCCCAACATAGACGAAGGTTGTCGGACACGATCTCAGATCGCTAGCGCGGAGGCGCTAGGTGGCCGACGGTGGTTCCAGTCGGCGGAGCTAGGAGGCGACGGTGGTTCCGACGATGGTGATCGAGAAAGAGAGAGAGAGAGAGAGAGAGAGAGAGAGAGAGGTGCAAGAAAAAGTGAAGTCCTCCCCCTTTATATAGTTTTTAACTTTTTGATCCAACAGTCCGAATTGAAAACGATCCAACGGCTTAGATCAAAATTATATATTTTTTCTTATCCGACCAGGTGACAGACATTTCGTGAAAAATAGGTGGCGATGTTTCGTTAATAATATCAAATACTAGATGTTTTTCTAAGAAAAACGGATCGATTTCTAGTCATTAATAAACAACGTAGCTATCATAACGAAACGTTTGAAAGTTATTCTCAGGTAATAACTGTTTACAGTTATGAACTTTCTCTTCGTAAAAGAGCAAATATGACGTGTAACGGAAAAGTTAGCTCTTAAATCAAATATTACATCAAAACTTGGTTCATAATATATAACTAATTTTCGTTATGAAACTCGAAAATGACCCCACAGAGCGTTTGAATGTTACTTGGTGAAGAAGGCGAACTTTTGGTTGTTCAACCTTATTCACAATAGCTTCACGTATTTTCAGGCATAAAAAGTTAGGAACGTGATAAATTCATAAATTGAATGAGGTTGATAGGAAAATTGATCGGGGATAAAAATTAATTTCCTAAGACGTCTCATAATTCGTTTGAAGTTCGTGTTTTGACACCTAACAGGCTGTAAGCTATTACCCGATTGTTCGTTATCTTAAAACGGTCGTATCTTTTGCATATGAACTCTGTTTTCGACGTTCTTTATGTCCAAATGTTCCTATTTTCAACGACTATTTGATGAACATATTGATACCACATAATAATGTCTAATACATATATCTCTTTCAATCATATGTACTAACCCATTCCTTATGTATACTGAAACTGTTTGTTTATCAGGGATTCATATCAATCCAAGACTTGATTGATATTTTGGATGTATTTTAAAGTATAATACCCTATAAACATCAAAATGATATGATCATTACACATTAGTTCTATTATGACAGTGATTAGAATAACACTGTTCGTTTAACGACGACCTAATTTCTACGATTGTCACACTTAGCAAATACATTTCATTTTCCATGTCATATCAATGACAATTCTCCTAATTGGTATGTTGATTATAGAGCTTTTGCACATATGGCTCCCTTTAGTAAAAACATAGATTCGATCATATTTTTTTCGAGAAAAGAAAAAGTCACATTTGGTAATAGTAATACTTTACGTATATCTTATGTAGGTCACTCATCTATCTCTCAAAATATCAACATACTAAATGTTCGTTCTCGTTGTTCCTCATCTAACAAAAAATTGCTTGTTGTTAACAAATTGACAAATAAATATTATACATACATCTTTTAGAAATATTATACATGCATTTGAAAAAACTACTACATATCTTTTCGTTGGAATAAATTTTCCATAAATGATCAACTGATGCATTTCGTAGACTAGAATGAAAAAAATCGAAACCGGCCCCGGACCGAACCAGAAATACCTATAACTGGGCTGGTTCCCCATTCCAATGTTTTTCAATTTGTAGTTTTCGGGTAAGAACCAGACCGGACCCGAAAATCGTTAGTAATATCGGACCGGACGGATATATATGAAAAAGACTTATTTTTTCTTGATCGACATGAACTATATATGAAAAGACCGTATATATGAAAAAACCTTATTCAATTATAAACTTTTATAAAATATGCTACTGTGTTTCAAATTTTTAGTATGTATTAAATTTTTTATATGAATTCGATATATAAATATTTAACTTTACATTTTGATTAATTAATAGAATTTAATATATAAATTATTAAACATTACATTTAAATTATAATTAATAGATAAAAATAAACTATAAATATATAAAATAAAAAAGAGAGAAATTAAAACCGACAATTGAAACTTCCACTGCACTTTAATAGAAATGAATAATGTTTTTTTATATTTGGATGAATAATATTTATATCTCTCAAAATAGAGATATAAATGAGGTTGTGTTAGAGAAGAACGAGTGAAAAAAAATGAAATATAGAGTTAATTGGATATGCTAAAGCGAACTTGAAATAATTTATTAATAAACTTATTCATCAACTAAAAACTACTTTGTTTATAAACTTGTTCCTAAACTGAAAATTATCTTATAAACTTGTTCACAAACATAACCTAAATTATTAATGATAATAAAATAATAATATACTAAAAAGTAAAAATCTTTAAAAGAGTTAAACCAAAAAAATGAAAATGGTTAGAAGGAAAGATGATATTAGGGCATCTCCAACCTACCCCCAAACTCCATTTCTTCTTTTATTTTTTTCCGTTCTTTTCCAACCCTACCCCATTTTCACATCTATTTTTGGAGATATGAATAGTATTCCTTCATATATGGGGGAATACTATTCGTATCTTCAAAATTGGAGGTGAAGTTTGGTTGCCAATTTTAGTTTCTCTCATTTTTATTTTATACATTACTAGTTTATTTTATCTACTAATTATAATTTAAATGCAATGTTTAATATTTATAATATCATGTCATATACTAATTTATATTAATAAATTATAAATATAGAGTTTAATTAGTAGAGGAGTGTATTTGACAATATATATAAGTTATAAAAATGGAATATTTTAGGAATATATTTTTTAGGGTAAAAAATAGAATATAAAATGGAGTAAGGTTGGAGATGAAACACTATTTATTCCATTTATAGAGAAAAAATAGAGATGAATGGGAGATGGTATTAATAAACTAAAGGAAAGGTTCATACTTTATACACGAGTCTCTCTCTTCAAGGAAACTGAGATAATTTTTATAGGATTTTGTTAGGTTGGAAAAAAGTGTTAGAAGTTAAAAAAGACATAAACCCACATTGGCTTTTTCTGCCTTTTGTTTCGACTTTTGTTTCTGTGCTACCTATGCATTTGTCTATGTCTGCCTTCCTTCTTCTGCTTCCCCTCCCTCTTTTAACTCTCAAACCAACATAATGGGTTAGCAATCATACTCTCTCTCAATTTCCTCCTAAATTTTCTTCTTTCATAAACTTCAATCCTTTTTTTTTCTTGTTTGGTATCATCAAAAACCATGTCTTTTCATTTTCTTCTTGCCTTTCTTGATTTTTTACCCGTGATTTGACTTCATTTCCCAATTTTCTTGGCCCCTTCAAGATCAAGAATCACTTGATTGTTCTTATCTCAAAAACCCATCTATTCCGTTCGTTCATCTTTTTTGGGTTCAAGAATCACTGGGGTATAATTGCTAAGAACTGAAGTTGGGTTTGTGATGGAGATTGATCTGAATCATGCAGTGAGTGGTCAAAATGCTGAATCTTTCGGAAATGGAGGGGTTTCATCACTGTCAACTTCATCAAACTCCTCAAATTCTTCCTTAAAGTCCCCGAATTCAAACCCGTCGTCTTCAGTTTACATGGAACTTTGGCATGCTTGTGCTGGCCCTCTCACCTCTCTCCCCAATAAAGGAAATGTGGTTGTTTACTTCCCTCAAGGTCACTTGGAACAAATTGCCTCACACTCATCGACTCACTTTTCACCCATTGAAGTTCCTTCTTTAGGCCTTCCTCCTCAGATCTTTTGCAAAATTGTTGATGTTCAATTGCTTGTAAGCTGTTAACTTTCCCCTTTTCTTTGTTGGGTATAGTTCTCTTTCACTCAATTTCACCTTTTTTCTTGCTTTTCCCAATTCCTGAAAACAGGCAAACAAGGACAATGATGAGGTCTACACAAAGCTCGCTCTTTTGCCTCTACCAGAGGTAAAATTGGGAACCATTTTTTTGTACTTCTTTACTTAAATACGTGGGAAAATTGAAAAAAAAAAAACGCTTTCACAATTTCTTGTTTCTTTTGATGTTTATACTAATTGTGGTATGTTCTAATTAACTCGAAATCTTTTCGAATATCTTCGTTCGTATGCAACCTTTTTGGTAAACACAATTAGTTTTTCTTTAATATAAATTAATTCTTGTGAAATGGGAATTCTATTTTTAATTTTGCAAGGGTGGATTGGCGAAAATTTTCAGGGAAATTTGCAAGGAGAGGAGGATCAGGAGGAGGGTGGTGGGGTAACACCCACAAGATCAACCCCTCAAATGTTCTGCAAAACACTCACTGCTTCTGATACATCCACTCATGGTGGATTTTCTGTCCCTCGAAGAGCTGCTGAAGATTGTTTTCCGCCTCTGGTTTGATTCTCATTACTTTTTTTAACGTTTTCCATGTGCAAGATTTGACCAAATTTGTTCCATATATGTATAAATCTAGTTTTATGTTTAACTAAAACCCACGTGCCGTTTGAATTTTTAGGATTATAAGCAGCAGAGGCCAAGCCAAGAACTAGTTGCTAAGGATCTCCATGGCGTCGAATGGAAATTTAGGCACATCTATCGAGGTGAATTTAGTCAAGTAATTTAGGGTTCTGATTAAAACAAAAAGTTTCATCTTTGATTCATACATTTATCGTGAAACGGAATCCTGTTTTTACAGGCCAACCAAGGCGACATTTGCTTACCACAGGTTGGAGCATCTTTGTAAGCCAAAAGAATCTTGTTTCCGGTGATGCAGTTCTCTTTCTTAGGTATCTCTTTCTAGCTTCTAAGTTTCAGTATTCAGAGCCTCTGAATGAAACTATTCAAAGTTCAGTATTCAGAGCCTCTGACGAATCCATTACCCTGTGGTGGTTTTAGGGGTGAAGGAGGAGAGTTGAGGTTGGGAACTCGAAGAGCTACTAGACCAAAAAACATTCTTCCTGATATCACCATGAGCAACTTGAATTCTTATAGCGACACTCTTGCTTCTGTCGCTAAAGCTGTGTCCACCAACAGCATCTTCCATGTTTTCTACAGTCCAAGGTACCCGTTTCATCTTCAAGAAAAAACAATCTTTGATTAATAATTCTCTTTAGACTTATTTTTGTTTATAAAAAAATGCAATGCAGGTCTAGTCGAGCGGATTTTGTTGTTCCTTACACAAATTACATGAAATCAGTGAGTAATATGATTTCAATTGGTGCAAGATTCAAAATGAAGTTCTGTATGGATGAGTCTCCTGAAAGAAGGTATGGCGTACATGTGTTACAATCATTGAAAGATTATTTATTTATTTATTTATTTATTTTTGTTTTCATGTAGGTTCAGTGGAGTTGTGACTGGTGTAGGTGATCTGGATCCTTACAAATGGAACAACTCAAAATGGAGATGCCTTATGGTACATTCTATAACTCCATTAAAGGAAACAGTTTTATAAATTTGGATTGAAGTGTATATTTACTACCTTTATTGGATTGCAAACAGGTGAGGTGGGATGAAGATATTGGAAATGATCATCAAGAACGAATATCTCCATGGGAGATTGATCTTTCTGGTGGTGGTTTCCCTTTGTTAAACATTCAATCATCACCAAGACACAAAAAACTGCGTGCAGGTTTGCATGCAACTCCTTCTGGACACCCTGCAACTGGTATGATAATGAATCTTTCTCAAAAAAAATTCTAATTTTGATATTTCTTGAAACTTGAATCCTTAGATTATTTTGTTGCAGCATGTGGTGGATATGTAGACTTTGAGGAATCGATAAGATCCTCTAAGGTCTTGCAAGGTCAAGAAAATATAGGTCCGATGTCACCTCTATATGGGCGTGATAAAATGAACAACTCGTTGAGCTTCGGGGTACAACCCTCGATGCATCCGAGTTTCCCTCCAAATGGGATGATGATGATGGGGAGATCAAGTACAAATTTTGTTAGTGAACTAATGAGGACACATCATCAACCACTCTCAACCACCCCTTACTCGGGCTTTCTGGGATCCGACAGCACTACAAGATTCCCGAAGGTCTTGCAAGGTCAAGAAATTTGCTCGTTGAGATCATTGAATGGTAAAATACCACCCAACATCGGTTCGTGGGGCCTACCACGAACCCATGTTGGGAACAATGTTCTCAACATGAACCAAAGTTTCTACCCACTTGGTTCTGAAGGTGGTAGAAACTTTGGTTTCCCAATTGGTGATGTTTATGAGGTAAGACCGAATCCGGGTCCCGTCTTGCCTACAAACTTCATGCGATCTCACATCATCCCACCTTCGGTTGAAAGTGGGATCATGACAAATAATAATGTAGCTTCACTTCAGCTTCCAAATGAGAAAACCGAACAACCTAATTCAAGCAGTGAGAAAGATGATGGTGCTTCAGATAGCATAGAAAGCAGCTGTAAACTCTTTGGATTTCCCTTGAATGAACCTCCCACATTGCTAGATGCTAAAAGTTTGAACAAGAGGAGTTGTACCAAGGTAAGGATCAATGAATCTCAAAATTTCCATATGCTATACACTTGGTATTCGTTTTAACTTGTTTAATATTGTTTTGTACTTTTGTTGTGTAGGTTCACAAACAAGGAAACAAAGTTGGAAGAGCTGTTGATCTGTCTAAAATGTTGAGTTATCGTGAGTTGTTCATGGAGCTAGAAGCTTTGTTTAACATGGAAGGTGTTTTCAGTAATCCAGATGGTGGATGGAGACTACTTTATACTGATGAAGAGAATGACATGATGGTTGTTGGAGATGATCCATGGGAGTAAGTACTTGCCACCATATGTATATTAGTATTCATGATTCATGAATGAATACAAAAAGAATTGAAGTTATAATTTGGATTAATTTGTGTTTGTAAATGTTTGCATGTAGTGAGTTTGCAAGGATGGCTACAAAGATACATATATACACTGCTGAAGAAGTTGAAAAGTTGATGAGCAGTGGGGTGATTAGTGACAACACAAGCTGTTTGGAGGAAGCGCCAGGTGTCGTTGATACGGCTAAGTCTTCGTCAGTCGGGCAGCCCGATTAGTCAGTCGGGCAGCAGGGATTAATGACCGGATTATAGAACTGTTGCATGGTTGTTTTGTAGTAGTATGGTTGTTGTTTATGTATGTGTTTTGTGTTAGGCCAAGAGAACTATGGAACCTTTGTTTCTAAAAGCAAGTTTTAGGTACTTGCTAGATTTGGATGCTGCATCTACATGCAGCAGTATGTAAGCAAATAAGTTGCATACTTTGGTTTGTGTGATGCTTATTTATGTTATTGTGTGTTTATCTTAAATGTTCTTATTCGACATTCAAAAATGCGTCTCAAACCTGGTTCTCATATTAGTCATATTTGAGAACACCTGTCTTGACTCGTGGAGTTGAGAAACTGCTTGTTTTACCTCGAAGACTGCAAGGAAACACGCATGTATGCAATCTTTTGTCAGGGTCTTGAATGGAAAACACACAATTAAAGATGCAACAAAAGAAAAATGAACACACGAATGAACGTGATTCACATAATCAAGGCAATAGTGATACATTTACTAGTGAACTACAAAATATAGATAAAATTTTTTTTGAGAGAAAATTATTAAAGTTATTAAAGTTTTTTATTAGGTGAAACTTTTTTAATCTATTTGAAAAACTAAATTATTAAATTAATAAGTAATTATAGGTATATTTAAAATAAATAAATAATAATTTTTTTTTTTTATGATTTGATACTTATTTTATAAATCAAAACAATCCGAAATTGAAAATAATAATTCGATTTTGTTGAAAATCAATCTGAAAATTCGAATATCCTAGCTAAGTTGTCAAATTGGATAATTCGGTTTTATTTTAATAATAAACAACCCTAAGCATACTTGATACAACTTATGACTTGTGAGCCAAACAACCAACAACCAAGTGGGCCATAGGCTTGGTGTATTGCAACTGTAGAGGTGCACAAACACTAATTTTAAAACGGTTCCGGTTAAAAAAAATCATTTTTTTAAATCAGTTATAGAAAAACTATTTTTAATTTTTTTTGAAAATGAAATTTTGCTAAAAATTCTAGAAAACGGTACGGTACTTTTTTAGAAAACCAGTAAAAAATTGGTTTTTGATTGAAAAAACGATTCCTAACTGACAGTTTGGTTTTTTCCAATAGGTTAAAAAAACTGATTCAGAATGTGTTAAATGTTGGGTTATGGAGAATCTAAAGGAACATAAGGGACACAACGGAAACAACAAACCATTTAATCCCCATACACCAACCATAAATCTATGTTCTACCTATCTTTGTAACTTAAACATAACAAGAAGGAAACACAATTTGTAACACCCGGTTTTGAAAGTAATCAGTTGTGGCTTCGGAGGCCAAGGGCATAGGCGTAATATGATGATACGGTCTTTTATGGGTTTCGAGTTTTATTCAGAAGGTTTTTAGGCCTGGGGGTGTAGCTAGGAGCGTAGGGCTTCTCGCCACCTTTTCGTGTATATAAAGTTCGTCGGAAACGGACTTAGAACTAAGAAGTTATAACACTTTGAAGTTATTGGCAATATTGGTCCCTAATGGAGAAAAGTGGCAAGAAGGTACCATGCATGCAAGGTGGTAGGTGCAAAAGTACGCCCAACGTAAGCTGGGGTACACCCAGCATAGAGGAGTAAAGTGGACGCGGGTGTTGGAGGCGAACGCCCAGCGTACGCTCAGAGTTTCTAATCCCTAATTTTAGGGCTATGCTACTATAAACGAAATAATATTTTGGATTAGTGTCTAAGTCCATAACTATATTTGGTATGTACTTGACCCGAAAGTAGCATGGTCCATTTGGGTTGCATGGCACCGGAACAATCTGAAGGATGAATAATTGAGAAGATGTTATTTATGATTTATTAATATATTATAAGTTCTAATATATTAATATGAAATCATATTATTTAATTAGTATTGATAAAGAATTAGTTTGGAATTAATTTTGTGATCAAAAGAGACTAATTAAATATATGAGGATTGATTATGTAAATCATTCGTTCTTATAATGTGGGCTTGTGATCCATAGTTCCTTATGTTGGGCTAAACCCATGTGGTGACCCATGGATGATCCATTGAGGTTTAAATCCATGGAGCATGAGGAATATGGAAAGTCATGCACATTAGGGTTTGTATGGTGTAAACCTAATCAAGCCACACTATATAAGAACCCCTCTAGCTCATGAAATTGGCACTAGTGGAAACACAAGAGGGCAAGCCGATTTTATGAGTGCAAGTGACATCTTCTCAAGTTCCTCCATTTGTTGGTGGTGTTGTGTGATTCCATTTGAGGTGCAACACTTGGGGCACTAAGTTTTTAAAGGTCCAAGGCTTTCAACTACACTAAAAGGTATGTCATCTAACTTGTATTTCATGTTGTTTATACTCCATTATATGCTAGTTAGGATGATGCTTTGGAATATTGAATGTATGCATGTATAATAGAGAAAACATAGATCCAAAGCATCTACGGTTGCATGTACACCATAAGATTGTTAGAATGCTCAAAACCCAACAGTGGTATCAGAGCCTAGGGTTGTTTTCAATTATACTTGATGCTACTTGTTGTTTAAGCTTGAAAAATCGATTTTCTGCTGTTCAGGACAGTGGACTCGCCGAGTCCAAGCACAATTCTGACCAACTCGCCGAGTTGGTGCTTCAGAGTGCAGTTTTTCGACTTTTAAGGCTGGAATTGGACTAAGATCATTACCCTAAACTGTTTTTGGACTTATAAACCTGTTTTTGATGTGGTAATGATCATGCTTATCCAATTCATAAGATAATTGTCAAAGTTTCATGTTTTGTATTAGTATATATGATTAGGCTAATTACATGAAATTTGTTTGATATGAATTATCTTGTTCATATGAGTTTAATCTAGATTATGGACATTATTTGACATGCTTGTTAGTTTATTTGATGATCTTTAGACCGGAGGGTGTGGGAGGGAAGCTTCCCTCACTTTTTGTGGGCCACACCACCCTTTCCCTCACCTAAAACCCAAGGAATGGGTGGGAAGCTCCCCTCACTATTTTTTTTTTATTTTTTAAAAATATATTTCATACATATATTATACTCATTTTTGTAGGGAATTAAAAACCATGAATTTTGATATATTTTTTATATTTTTTTAATAGGTATATAATTTTATAAATATTAAAAAAGATAAAAAAAAAAGAAAAAAAACTGTCCAATTGCATGAAGAGAGAGAACGCAGGATCCCCACCCCCCACCCTTTTCCCGCGCTAGCCTTCCCGCACCCACGGTACGGTGTTCCCCCTGTGAGGGAAATGTCCCGCACCTCTCCCCGCACTCCATACCGTCCGGCCTTATGGCCTTTAATGTACTCCATAACTTGTCCTCAAGTTATGGAAAATGAAAAGTTTTTCTTTTAAAGAATTCATTAAACTCATAGGTTATGGTGTTGAAGAGTCTTTTTCAATAAATGTTTTTATGAACTACATAACTTGTCCTCAAGTTATGGATTTTCAAGAGTCTTTTTCAGTAAAGCCTATATTAAACTCATATGTTATGGATTCCAAAAGTTTTTGAAAAGTTCAAAACTTGCCCTAAAGTTTTGGAATTTGTAAATGTAGAGTCTTCTTTTGACACATTTAGTTCCAAACCCTAGAATTTTAAAAGTTTAAAATCCAACCCTTATACTATTATAATATTATAGGTTTAATATTTTATATATTTGTATAAGAGTAAAGTCAGTTTTACCGTTAGTAGGCCTCATTCACGAAGCCGGTCTATAAGGGGGGTATAAGGTCACTCCCTATAAAATGGCAGTTTAATGGGTGTCCACTCTCACCCACCGCTTCCTTGACTGGTGGATGGTCGTTAGCCGAACGGGTAGGATAGGACTCTAATTCTCCCTTCATTAAAAGTATAATAATAAATATAAAGTAACTAAACACTTATAAATTCCCAAATCTTAGTTACTTAGGAAAATGTGAATTTGGTGCTAACCCATGAAATTGCACTTTGCACCTTGTTAAGTCGTTAGTGGAGCATGTGTGGTTAACCGGCACACTAATCTAGGACTAACAGTGTGTGGCAAATGGTAGTTTGATGTTAATCATAGATCAATGGAGCGTGTGTGGTTAACCGGCACATTGATTAGGTGAGGTAGCATTAAGAGTATCAAGCTAAGTTGCATGGTTATTCACACCTTGTTTGTGATCCTCGGCATCCCAGTCACAAACTTGAAGGGCACAATCGAGATTTAAACATGCCATTGAAAAGTTCAATGAATCTCAAAGGATCTAGGAATTTCTATTCACTTAAAACCTAAAGTTCATTTTCATTTTTCGTGGTGGAAATTGGTAAATCTTTATTTACCTACCTTCAAATATTTTGCAATTGGATTACGGCATCCCTCTTCCGAATTGTAAAATATTGTGTTGAGTCCTAGCTTTAATATTTCATTTGGGTGTCATATTAAAGACTTAAATCATCTAATTTGAATTTCTCCCATGTAGATGTCTAGTTCATATAACTATGGTCTTCCCAAATCTCTTAGAACAAGCTTTCATCTTGAAGATGATGTTCCACGATTGGATTACGGAAGTCATACTTCACTTCCTCCACCTCCTCCAATTATTCTCCCTAACCAACAAGTTCAAGGTCACTCAAAGCCCTATTGGCAGGAAGGAAAGTCTGTATGTGCTCACGTCTTGAAGATGAAGTTACATATTTGAAAGACTGGGAGAGTTGGGTGTCGAAGTCTCGAGGAAGTTGGCTGCTGATTTGGTTCTTCAGTCACTCCATGAGTCGTATGGTGAGTTCTTTAAGGACTACTATATGACAGATCTCGACATGACCCTTATTGATCTAACATATTTGCTTGTTGTTGCTGAATCAACAATGATTTGGTGCAGTGGTAAAGCAAATTTGATTGGAAGATCTACTCCCCACACTTCCATGGACATTGACAATTAGAACATTGGAAGTCCAAAAAAGCTTTCTCTTCCCAGTGGAAAGGGATCGACCATGGTCAAGTCATTTGACCAAATGGTAAAGAGAAAGGCTAAGTCTGAGATAGTCCTGTGTACCATTCCCAAAGATTTCATGTGTTTATGTTGCCAAGAGAAGGGGCATTGGTTGCAAAGCTGCCGTATCTACCTGAAAAACCACAAGGATGGTAAAGTCAGAGTGTATGACTCTACTTCAGGTAAAAACCATTGTCTAACTCTATTAAGTTCCTATTTGGAGATTCTTAATACATGATGTGACTAGGTCGCA